TGTTCTAATTACAGGTCTCGTCGCCCTGGCTATCACTTATGCTTTATCCTTAACTAGTCTTTTGAACGGGTTGTTGGGATCTTTTATTGAAACCGAGAAGGAGATGGTGTCTGTAGAAAGAATCAACGACTATCTCACCAATGTACCAGCGGAGGACGATGAAGGCAAAAGCGAGGTAAAATAAACTGTAAAGATTTTTCTGAACATTGTCAATTGGGATTTTTTCCAGCCACCTTTGGAATTTTCTGGAAGGATTGAGCTCAAGAAAGTATTTTTACGGTACAGCCGTTATCTACCTTTGGCTCTGGATGATATCAACGTCACCATAGCTCCAGGAGAGAAAGTAGCAATAATTGGAAGAACCGGCAGTGGAAAAACGACTTTCATGCAGGTAGTGGTTTCTTATTGTTGAAAAACTTAGTCACGTGAGAATGAATTGTTAAAGGCACTGTTACGTACAATCTCCATCGAATCTGGCCAAATAATGCTCGATGGCCTCGATGCATCCACCATATCTCTAAAAATGTTACGCAAGGTTTTCGGAGTTGTACCGCAACATCCGTTTATTTTCAGGTAATTTGGAGATCTTTTTCATTAGAAAAACTTATTGTCCTTTTTTATCAAATGTTCTCTTGCACATAGGACTTTTGAAAGCAAGGTTTCGCTATGTTTGAATGTCTTTGGACATTAGTATGCCCATGCAATAAATTGCAGAAGCACGCACGCAGTAAAAAAAAAGTGCGAACACGCACTTAGCCTAGAATGTGCTGAAAGACCAATTTCTAGCTAATCGTGTTCGTGCCAACAAATACCCTCTTTTTAGCGGCTCTTTATATGAAAATCTTGCTGTTGGCTGTGAACATGCTAGCGAGGATCAAGTAGCCACAATCGCGAGGAATGCACACCTTGGTAGGATTTGTCGGATTTTGAAGGAGCGGTTATCTTCAAAGCGGATACAATTGCTCTAGAATCCCTGATGGCTCGGATTGGCGGACTTGATGGGCAGATAGAAGAAAGTGGCAAAAATCTGTCA